AGAGCAGCTTTGCTATCACACGTCTCGCTTAAACGTGCTTGAGGTGCTTAAAGCAGACCAAAGAGGTGAATATTCAGCGATGTCCGGATTCATGAGGAAGAATTAAAATACATACGGCACCCTCCTTGTGCCACTCGCCAACATGTTACAACTAGCTAACTATATTCCTTTATCTGATGTTAATAGCACCTGATAAGGATTTCTTAATAAATTTTGGTTTAACATTATTTACAATTGTATGGAATAATTTTTTATTATTCTTGTACACAAGTGCATCTTCTTTTTTCATTTGAGGGAAATGTTTTAATAAATATTAAGATTGAACATTAAATATGTATGACAAATTCTATGTGGTAAATATTAGGTAAATGTGCTGCGCCAGGAATGTCCCCTTGGCGAAAAAGTGCAATACAAACGCTGAAAAATTTTTGCAACCAATCGACAAAAAAATAGTCAAGGAAAATTATTTACCATTTAATTTCTAACGATTTATCAAAAACATTACGGTTATATACATCACAGAAAGTGGATTGCGGCTTTGGGATGCAATTTAACATTTCTAAAAATATCGTAAGACAAAGTATTCCGACTAATGTTGGAAAACTTTTTGTCTATTGAACGTGAAAAATATAGCCATTAAATTCTGTTCCATACCCTGCACTGAAAAACGAGCCCAATCAACGATTTAACGTTGCACCGAGTTTACCTAACGTATTCTTCGAGATCTATACTAATTCCTTCTATTTCAAACTATTGCGTTACAACACAAGTAACCCCAATTTCTTTAAAACTACCACACCCAGCATCTCTTTCGTATCCTTACGTAGGAATGACAATCAGCAGTAATCGACTTGCCGTAAGTCCGGAAATTATACATCGCAAGTAGGAGGGGCGCAAGAAAGGGTCGATTGATCGATCCCGACTGACGAGCCGAGCAAGGCAGAGCTTTTCGGCCGGCCAACGCGATCCTAATCGCTCCTGGCTAATTGCGTCAGCGTCACTCCGTTGCTCCGATGTTATCGCCTTCCCTGCAAACTCGAGCCGTCGTCCATCTCCCCGCTGCCATGGGATAGAGCTAATATTCGTTGGATCCTCGCGCATAATAAGATGGGGTGATGGGCGAAGAGGCTATTATGGCGGGTGGCGTCCAAGGGTCATTAACGAGATTCTGATGCGTTTACCGCTCGATATGACCAGGCGAGAGCAAACCAGTTTGCGATCGTGTGCGCGTCTGTGTTTGCACACGGTAGCAGCGAGGGCGTGTTTCTGTTTTCTTTTTCTTTTTTTTTTTTTTTTTTTTTTTTCCTTTGGTATAAGTTTACGGGTGATAGAAAGTAGAGCGATGTTGCGCAACGCCGGGACTGTTAGGTCAGGTTTTTTTTTCATTCATTGACTGGCTGTATAATATTGTGAGCGTTTGTATCGAGGTTACACATCGGATCTTATCGCGGAACGATGTGTTTATTAAATTGAGAAATATTTCCTTCGTGGCTTGAAAACTTCAAGTGGCACAAAACTCATTTTGCAATTGGCCTGGTTTTCGTGTATGAAAATTGGGTTCATCAGTTTGAGGAAGGTTTAACTATTTGAAGATGGTCCCAGAAAACTCATGTGAGCCCTTACCGAGTTGGAAATGGAATTGAAAAGTGATATAGTAGAAAATGAGCTTTACGATCTGTATTTATGCCAAGAGTTTTTTCTACTCGTTGTTTCAATCATTTCGTTAAAATTCATAACTAAGTGTACGAAAAATGGTACAAAGTGTAATGAGACGCAGATGACGTATTTTATGACTAGTTTTCTTTTTTTTTTGTATATAAACTGACAGAGAGGGTGTTAAACTTTGTCGAAAACTAAAATTATTTTACGATAATGCTTACTATGTTCTTAATTCTAATGTCTGGCATTGTAACTATCGTTGCCACGAAGGATCCAACAATTTAAACAATTATTATTGAAAATGATCCAAGAGTATCATCAAATAAAAAATAAGAAAACCACCCCGAGAAAATAAACGAAATCTCAATTCAAGAGTTTTTTTTTTTACAAACACTAGCATTGGACACGACTCACCTCAACCCCATCGACCCGCGGTTTCAACAGCTTGATAAATTTATCCACGCACTCGCTAAATTTCTGCAGTGTAAAAAGTGTCACAACAGCATCTCATAAGACTCTGGTACGTCATCCGCTTGCAGCAGGAGAAGGTGCATCGGATCTTGCGTAAGTTGGCTTGCGAGACAGGCCGTACGCGTCGGGTGACGGGACGATGATCCTGCGCACCACCGGAGGGACATAGATACACGTGGGTCCCAGGAGTGAGTGGCGGCATTCAGCAATGCAGTGGATGTGTGTAAGGTAATCTCTCGAGGGGGAGCCCAAACGGGCACCTGCAAGTGGTGCGTGCAAGTGAAGGCGCGCGTGGCGGGCAAAGAGGTAGGGGTAAAGGCTTTATAAGATCACGGAAGAGTGGCTCTGCGTTTGTTTGGTCTTACCTCGCAAGGTCGTCCCTCTGTCTTCTTTCTCGCCTGGGTCCTGCAGGAGCATCTCTACCGCTCGTCCCGCGCGAAGTGGTGCTATCGTCAACCTTTTCTTTTTTTTTTTTTTTTTTTTTTTCCCCGTCCACGGTAGTTTTTTCTCCAGTTTGGTTGGGCCAACCCGAGGACTTGAATCGAGTAGAGTCTCATTAGCCGCTGGGGAGAGGACACTTTGGAAAAATGGTACGTCTCCACTGTTTGTTTGTTATTTACTTTGATCCAAATATTTTTCTATTTACTCAGTCAAAAAAGCAATTTGAATAAGGTATTCAGGTATTCATAATAATTTACAACTGTGCTTATCTAATGGCAAACTGGCCAGGGGACTGATAATTCATATTTACTCATTGAATTCGAATTTCCTGAACGGAAGAGGGCATCATGCAGGAATATCTTTCTCCTCATACTAAGGAGAATTTCATGATTTTTAACTTTTATAAGATCACCATTGTTGCAGAAAGTTATTCCACCAGTTATAGCATTTTGATTACACAATATATTTGTACATTTCTTTAAAATAATAAAATATCTTCTTTATTATCAGGATGATTATAATTTTATTACTATAGTAACGTATTGTGTAATGGTTAGCCGTATATTTATAATAATACTTATGTGAAGTTTGTCATAAGGTTTTTTTTTAATTAATTCAGTTTATTTTTACAGTAATTTGTTTTTAATACTTATTTAAAATAGACCCTTAGAAAATAGAAAATTTTCGAGATTACCACGTGCACCTTTTTCTGCTGGAGGGATGTAATGTCCCACCTGGTTTTAAAAATTACATGTCTTCACAATAAACTTGAAGATCATGTTTAATTACCAAGGCAACGTTTGAGTAATATTGCATCATTAAAATCTCTCTTAAAAAAATTGAAAGTACTTTAAATGATGTTTACTCACATTTTGCTGATTCATTTGAATTTTATGACTCAAAACACCAAATATTAACAATTAGTGATTGACTCAGTCATAATCATTATCGTTTAGACTGATTACTCACAACTCCTTACGCACATGAAGAACACAAATAAAAAATTTTTTTTATGCATTCGAAGACAATAAAAAAATATAACTGGTATATTGTTAGCCTTAAGAGGTCAAATCTTACATCCATTAAGATAGAGAACACAATCTTTACAAAACTCAATAAATACAAAGCAATATGTATTATTTTTTAATGCCCACGTTTTATATAAGTTCTTGTGGCCAAAGCACACTAGTCATGTTTTCTTTCTATATTCCAAAGGGATTAGTTTCGAGATGAAATTACTAATGGAGTAAATTGTTTCCATCTCATGACCTGCTAGTGCATCAAGTTTATTTTTTGACATTCTCGTTACATGATGTAATAAATTATCCCTTATTATAAACTCTTAATAGACATGTACTACGATGTTTTTAAAGAATAATCTTAGCTTAATTCTACGTAATAACGAAAAAAAATAAAGACGTAAATAAAATGCAACGTGAAAAAAAAGTAACATGTAATACGGTAATCTGAATAAACAATGTAGGGCATTGAATCCAAAAAACTATCTCTAAAACACGAACAGTTTCGACCACCACAGGCCTCTCACTTTTACCTGTTGACTGTCGTCCCTCGTAACATGCATTGGTACATATCCAGGGAGTGTCGGTTCCTCGGCCAAGTCCGGCGAGGGCCTGCCCGGCCGGTTTATTGACCCAGAACTTGGCTCGACAGTGAAAGTGTACGAGCACACGTGGAAAGGACTCTTTGGCAAAAATAATAACAGTCCAAGCTTTTGCTGGTGTAACGTCGGTGAAGGTTTTTGCTGAAATTTTTCGTTAATCATTTGAAAGTTCCCGCAAATCTGTGGACGGCATATCCGGTTTAGTTGACCATTATCTTTGTTATAGTACACTGTTGAGAATGTCATCGAATTTTTTTGAGTCAAGGTCTGGAAACGGCATGTTGCAAAGTTTCCACATGTATGATTGAAATGATTGTGACTCTATAACCACTTGATTATTCTTACGTCGTATTTTTCGTCTTGATTATTCGTACTTCGTATTGTAGAACCCCAAACAAATTAATTTTTTCAAATTCATTGAGAAAATGTGAAATAGTAAAAATTTTAACTATTCGAACAGCTGTTCTCCTTTATCTCCGTCTCGATTAAAAGTAACAATGTGGAATTACAATGAAGAATCAAAACTTTGATTTTCTTCCTCCCACCTATCTATGCCCACATCACCAAGTGTTTGTTACTTTGCAATCATATTTTGCTAACTGACGTTATGTTTTTATTACTTCCCAAAATGATAATTAAGTCATAAGCTCTTAGCCAGGAAATAATTTACTTGCGTTAAAAAATGTCCAATAGTATCTGCTTGACGTACTTAAAAAAAAAAAAAAAATATTTGAGTGAATTAAACAACATTTACAATTATGGTACAAAGCATGTTCCAAAAATATTTTTCATTCATCTTTTATCAAAAATGTGCAAGTGTACCCTAACGAAGTAAAATTTCGTTTAAAAATATCCTACTCACGAATATACTACACATTATGCGGTTATTTCAATATAGACTGTATGTCTTGTCAGAAACCCAAATTATAAATACGGTAAAATAAGGTCCGCCCCTTATCCCTCGAATAACCAAAATTCCAGCCATTATCTAAGAAGCGTCTTGAGTGTTGCAGGAGTGGCAGTGCCTGACGTTGCTGCTGCTGATCGCGGGGGTGGCTCTGAGCGAGAAAAAGGTCGACCTCGAGGACATCGAGAGAGACCAGTTCCCCCGCACCGAGGGCCGTGGATCCACGACGAAGAAAGCCTCGCTGGAGACGCTGCGCGCCGAGGAGACCCAGTACCCGACGACGGCCGCCGAAACGCCGAGCGGCCGGACTCCAGAACCGACTCTGGCGACGACGGCTCACCGCCACCAGCAATATCATCACGCCCCGACAATTTCCACTCGGGAACTCGGCAATCAAGCCGGCGATTACGCGGAACTCCCGGCTTACGAAAGTTTCAAATACGCGGTAATTGCCCAAACGAATTTTCGCGCACCCACGGCTTTTACATATTGTACGCGAGAGGGGGGTATGATGATGGTGATGCCTGCAAAAATTGAAATGCAGATTGGTTTCTGCCGCGTGATAAAAGCTCTCGTGGGTTTTATGGTGGCCGATTCTTGCGCGCGAGATTTGATGGCGCGGAGGAAAGTTTTTACGGCGCCCGGCTTTTCGCGGAGAAATTCCTCGTGTGTTGGCTATCGTCGTTTGCTCGCAGTGAAAGGGCATTTTGGCTTTTTTTTTTTTCTTTCTTTTTTCCTAATTGGGGAATACGATTGTGCGTAGATTTTTTTGATTTCCCTCTCTCATGTTCCATTGAAAATCGAATGATGTCCCATAGTATTTTCGAAAGTGTTGTCAGTTTTTTCGGTTTTTGAGAGCAGAGAACCACAAGATTTTTTTTTCTAATATAGAAGCATTTTATCAAAGAAGATGCTCAAAGTTGTTTTCATTCTATTTTATTTTATTTTTTCTATTTTTTTTCAATGGTAATAGTCTTATTTATAATTGAGAACGGCGTTGAATCTCACGCTTGAACGGACTTTTTTACCAACTTTCCGATCAATGAGAGTAGGTTTTACAATAGTTTACGACAGCCTATAAACGTATTCAGATGTATGATGTTAAAGTCCCCTTATGTAGTAGAGATATTTAATCTTATACCACGCGTTACAAACACTGCAAAGCCATTTCACATAAATTACAGGCTCAAGTCACTGACACCGAGTTTTTTCAAAAGTATACAATTTCTTTTTCCTGAAATCTCTGCCTCCTTAAAATTGTCGATCAAAAATAACCAGTAGGTACCACTTAACCAATAAAAGTGCAACTTTGTCACCAAATAGGCCCCGGTCCCGGAGTACGGACAAGGCGAGGACGCGTCCGACTACGCACAGGCGGGTCTCTTGGCAAATCCGGTGGACCAACAGCAACAACAACAACAGCAACAATATTACTCCCAGCAGAGCCGAAGTCATTCCCAGAACGACTATGAGCAGCAGCAGCAATTGTATCAGCAGGAAGTGCTGGGAAATCAGCTGCAGCAGGCCCAGAAAACGCTCGCGCCCAACTACGCCGATATGAGCGATGATAAAGGTGAGAACGCTTTGGTCGCCTTTTTTCTCTTTCTCCTCCGCGCAACGGCTCTTAGATACGCGTATCGCAAAAGATGAGAACGTATCGACCGAGTTGAATGGCTTTATTGTATTCTCGAGCCGAGGAAGAGGAAGTGGTATTTGTCGGACGGAAAGGGCAGGGTTCTCCGTTCGAACTGTGGAGTATAACGCCGCTACACCGATTCGATCGGAGGATTCTATTGTTTCGTGGAATTGATTGTTACAATGTGTGAATGGGTATCTTTCGTGTGACTGGGTGGAGAGAAACATTTTTTTTCCAACCGTTATAATCGCAAGTTTTTAAAAGAACAACGTTATTTACGTTGCACAGCCTGTTACTTAACTGGCAAAGTTCGAAGATTCTCGAACGATTTTTATCGGTATTTAGGGTTATTTCGTATTGATTACGATTTCACCACTAGTTTTTAGCGAATTATTACCGAGTAGATAAAATCTGGGTGGAAAATTTAATAAGATCCAATCGGTGTATAATCATGCATAGTCTGTTTCATAACGTCTTTCAAACTTTTTGTACTGAATAAGTCGTATTGTGTTTGGGCTGTACTTTTATAGCTGTGTAAACTAGAGTTGAGGAATTTTCTCATCAAAGATGATTTTGAATTCATGAAAAACTTTACTGCACCATCCTTGGGCTGAAAGTGGTAATACTCTCAGCTACTGTCTGCGAAGAAAACAAGTAAAAATAGTGCTGTGGTCAATACATTTGTTTTTAAATCAACAATGATCAAAGTAGAAATGCTTAATTTGCTTTTATGTCCAAAATGGTAGAACCTTATCAGCTTTACCAAGGATATGGAAAATTTCCAAATAAAATTACCAAAAAATCACCTTAGTAGAGTAGTATACACTAAAACCACCGTACGATAAACCAAATGAGAGCGAATTACACCTGATTGTGTCACTTCTCTGCAGGGGCTTACTATATAAACATACCGACAAGCCAGTTGCTCGCCTACTACCAGCAAAACTACGCAGTTGTCGAGCCAAAGAGCAAGAGCCCCGACCATCAGCCACAGCCGCAGCCGCTTCCAATCCCTGTTTATACGCCGATGTTGACTCAAAGTCAGGACTACCCCCCGATGAAAGTCACATACCAGCCCGAAGCGCAATACGTGCCCGCGTACCCGCAGCGCACGCAACCCATGTACAACACAAAGGTAAGCTCATCCCGCGGATTCTCGGAGCCATCGCTTCGTAATATGTGGATCTCCTCGTCCAACTCCCCCGCAGCACAGTTTCCCGTTTTAATTTGTCCGCGTCATCCCTCGGACCGGACCAACAAGTTTGTCCACGGGATTGAATCTGGTACTAGATGGATGGTAATACTGCATGACCACTGGCTCGATCGCTGTAGAATACTTTGGGATACCGGTTTAATTTGGGATGTACGCGGAGCAGCTGCAACTTTGTGTACCAATTTAATGGATATGGAATCTGGGCACCAATTGTTATTCAACGCAATCTTTTTCAATGCCATGTGACACCTGAGTTTAGGCACGTGGGGAGAATATTTTCACAAATGATTTCAAATATCTATATTCCAACCCGCACGAAAATTTACAAAAATTTGCCTCGGTAATAATCATAAAACAACTGAAATGGCAACTGTATCACAACCAAAGCCTTTTCTGGATCGTACAAGAATCGATTTTTTAACATCTCAGGTTACTTTGCCACCAACATCTTCCAAAATTCCCTAGAAATGAATCATTGAACAACACAAACACCCCTTTTTGCGCAGCCAGCGAGTGCAGCACCAACAATGGCGACGATGCCAGCAGCCACAGCCTCGGTGGCCCAGCACCAAGCAGCTCCAACCAGCCAGTATCCGAGCCCCGTAGAAGTCCTGCCGTACCAGTACTACCTCGCCCAGCCAGCCCAGCCCCTCGCCTACGAAAACGCCTTCGTGGACTTTTACAGCGGCCCGGCAGGTGGCTTTGTCCAGGACGACAACTCTCTATACGAGCCCGCACAGCAGCAACAACCTCATCACCAGCGGATGCCACAACAACAGCAGCCGCAGTATTACGTGCCGGCGGCTCTGGCCGAGCAGATCATGGCACAGATACTCCAGCACGCGGGTATCCACAGTGCGGCTGCTCAAGTTGTTAAGGTAATTTGGGCTCAAATGACTCTGGTGTTTGTATCCAAGTATGTGTATGAGTACATGGTGGTAGTGGGCCGGTGAAAAGCCTCCCTGATTATCCCGATCATTCCTTTGACCTGTGTGATTTGGAAATGGAAGGTGTCTATACGCCAATGAGGTCATTGGGAGAGTAATGCATCGCGTGGCGGGATAGATTTAAAAACCATAAGAAATATAATAACAGGGATTATGATCACGATGATTCTTTGGGGTTTATGAGTTACGGGTTGATACGGGGTGATACGGGATATCATTATATCTCGCAGTTTTGTCATGATTGTTATGTATGACGCACACGTTTTTATAGGAGAAAATATTTTTAAAGTATTACTAATTTATTAACATTTTGGAATTTTTGAAAAACAAGCTGAAACTAATGAGAAAAATTTTGTTCCCTTTGAGTAGTGCAGTACATGCTCAATGATAAACAAAACCGTCACAGCAAGAATTATTTATTATGTAAAGATATCTGCTGATGCAACGCACAATAACAAGTACTTAATGTTATAAAATATCAGACCATGAGTTAAGCAACTGATAAAAATCCCACAGATACATGTTTTCTAATGGGACCATTGTACTTTTCCAACATCCAACAGAATATCTCACAAAAGTAACGACATAACGACATTGATTCTTCCAGCACGCGATGCCGGAGCCAACGTCGCAGCGATTCACGCCACCGCAGTACCAGGCGCAAAAATTCCGGGGCAGCGCCGAGACCGGCGAATCGGTTCCAGTTTCCGTGGAAAACGAAGGCTACTCGTCCGCGACGCTGGGCGCGCCGTCACGGCCGAAAACCCTCCTCGACTCGTACGTCCCGAGCCACGTGATCGCCGCGCAAGACGCCAACCGGTAAGCGATCCCCATCCTCCTCGCACCCCCTATGGTTCTATGTGTACAGTCCTTGGCCGTGCTTTCCTCCACTGAGGCCAGTTTACGGACTAATCTCTGTTTACGGCAGGAGATGGTCCGTCTCGGTTGTTAAATTCCAGTGAAATCAACATCGTTACTCCGCTCGAGAGATCCAGACTGCGTTGGATTGTGGTTGCACAACAGTGTGCTTGTATATTATATACGCAGTTGCGCGTAAAATCGTCAACAAAAAAAGATCCCCACTGCGGGGAAATCGTTATTTTGACGGAAACGCAAATTGTCCGTATTGATTGGGTTTCGGTGACAAAGGAGTCGATCACTGAACGCAAAAAAGCCGTTGGTCCGCGATTGCCCCTGCAGTACTAACATAAAATGCAAATTTACACTTGTAAATGTCTGAGCTCCCTGATAACTCGTACAGCAATAATGTAGCCATTATTTACCGGCGATCGTTCACTTTCTATGCAACTGAAGTACCCCCCGCAGCCTCGGCTTGGATTGCATTTGAATTTGAAATCGACTCTCATCGAAAGTTCCAATTACGCTAAATAAACAAGACACTTTAATTAAGACGTCGAGCTCGGGACGACGGGCGGGATACGGAATGCATATAAATTTCTCTTCTCCGTCTCTCTCTTGGCCATGGCTGAACATTCGATTGCTTTATTAGTTACAGAGAAAGGCCAATTAAACTTGAAAGCGGCTTCCTGCCGTCGAAAATAAATTTCATCCAGCGTCGCTCGCACAAGAAGCGCAAGAGCGATTGAGGGTCCGACTCGAGGGGGCTGTCGAAGGGATGCGCCGTAAAGTTGCCGGTACGTGTTCGACAAGGACGGATCCATTGGTTAACATAGTTTCAAATGGAAGTATAGTTTGGCAGCTGATGATTGATTTCGAAAAGTCAGGGATCTGCAGAGGCAGCGCTCGTGCATCGTTTGGATTTTGCTTGATTTTAGGATTAATTTCTTGAGGTGATGTTCGACGAGAATTGTGACGGTAGTTGCGTACCGAGGACAACCCTAGTTTTAAGTTATATCGCATATCTAGTCCATTTAGAAGAAGAACACGATACTCATGCATGTAATAATACAAGTACTGCAGCTGATGCTCTTATGTAACTCATACGATTGTTGATGTTGTTTGACATTTCTTTATGTATATTTACGTTGTAGTTACTTCTTTTCTTTTTAAAATAAATTTTGTTGTGAAATACACTGTGCGTGTAATATCAACATTATTTTCAACTTTATCTGTTATTAGTTTCTTTATGATTGTAATAAACAGCATTTGTGCTCATTGCTTACCTTCCGGGTGAAAATTTTTACTGTTTGAGCTACTTATCACTAAAATCCACGCCATTAAAATATGATAAAATGTAAATATTCAATTTCGTGGTTGAATAAACCTGTTACTATAAACTGAATCTTGGACACAAAAAAACGTAAGTATTTCATCCTATTTGGTCATATTTCATCTGCAATTACGTACTCCTTGAAGGAAAGTAAATAGCGATAGTTGCCTAATAAAATGGTTTATTAAAACGAGAGTTTTATCTTTTTAATTTTTAGTGAAATTTCATAATATTGATTTTTTTATGAAGCAAAATTTTTATTTGGAAGTACAGTTTTCTACAACTTTTATTTAGAACTTCTGAACTACTTGATGAAAATTAATGAAATTGTTTGATGACTGCTCCATTCAAGGAAAAACTCTTGGACGATAATAAACAAATATGGTTTAAATTCTTTTCCCTTTTAAAATTCCCATAATATGGATAATATTCGAAGAATCGCAAGGTTCTTCCTTTCATCCGAAAAAATAGGATGAATCTATGTATATAATAGGATGAAAATGGTGGAATTCATTTTTTGCTAAGTACCTGTAATTGCAAGATCTACGTGTCTAGTAATCAAAAAAGGAACCTTTGATGAAGGAAAAAGTTTAAGAAAAAAAAAAGAACAAGTTAAAAATGCATACATTTTTTTTACCAGGTTACAGGGACAGTCTAATGGCATAGTCACCGGGGCCTCTTTCAAACTACATCTGCAACTTGAGGTGTCGTAATCCTTGTCAGGGGCAGTATGAACCTAACGTTGGTCCTACGAACTTCTCAATATTCTATCAAGTAGTACTAGCCGTAGAATTATTGAATAAATATAAATATTAATTCATGAGTATTAAACAGTATGGAATAAAATTTAGTATGATTAAATTAAATTATACTTTTGTTACCTCACACGATAAGTATTAAAATAAACGTTTTTCACATTTTATTGACCATAAACTTTGTAAGGAATCATTACATATTTCTGTAGCGTATAAGCTTTATCATATACCAATTTTAAGTGAATGTTATCTGACCATAAGTCGTTATTACTTCAGGCTTGAATCTCCGAAAACTTAAAGTTCCTCGTATCTTGGATAGAGCTAGACGTAGAAAATCTTATTTATTGTAGAAAATAATATGTGCTATTATAAACAAGTGAATCAAATGTATCATGATGCAAAAACACGCCAAGATAAGATTGCAAACCTGTAACTGTATGGGATACACGTCTTTCCTATTTAGGTATACGTGAATTTGCATCATATCTTTAATCAATCAACAATAATCAATATATATGCCATGGTAGACTGCAAGTGGAGTTACAACTCTAAGGGGGTCATCGTGGAATATTGCATTACGTCATTTATAAAAAGACTTGTTTAACTGATCCAACTAGAGACGTGTCTTTTAATCACCAAAATGAAATTTTTTGAGTGTTCGTAGTGTAAAAATATAAACAACTGTTTTAAAGCAAACATGTAAGCAAATAGTCAAGTTTTTGTACAATTATTTATTTCAGAATTTGTAATGGAAATTAAGTTGGGCTTCGGACAAGTAAAATTTGAATAAAAACTCATACAGTGAATGAATAATTAATTGAGGAAAAAAAATTTCTAAATAAAAATAAAATAAGTACCTCGCTTCTAGAAAAGTCGAGTTGAGAATGTCCTAGATTTCCGGTGTATTGGTGGCAATGTAATTTGATGTGATACTCCGAGACACAAGTACCTTTCGGTGACGAATTGCAGCTTAATTAAACACGCCCTAAAAATAGAATACTGACCTTCCGTAGAACGCAATTTTCGTCGTTGTAAAGTTGGATGAAAGTTTTTTATTGTAACTTAGTTAAACTTTTTGAAAATTAAATTTCCTTTAAAACAAAGACAAGTTCGTGAAAAATCTAACAAATATTAATTTTCTTTAATAAACGTAATAATAATTCACCTATGGATTTTTATTAACGGAAACACAAAATTGTTGGCTACTATGCATGAGAAAATTCAGGATAGGGAGCTATTACGACACATGCGATAATTTATATGTTAATTTTCATGATAATTAAGTGTCGATGATCAAAAATAATTTTCAAATATTTTTTAACTCCCAGCTAATACAAATATAAACTGAACATATTGAAAATGTCTTCCTAATGCGATGATAATGTGTTATCTTGAAGATTATTTAAAGTTTTGTAAACTAAAGCTTGTAATGAATAAGTAAATATTTTTAATTATTTGAACAAGTGTTGTATTGGGTCCAATTTTACGTATAAGATAGTAGGAATCCCTTGGTTTTTCAGTTCGAACGTTTCAAAATGTATTATTTCCCCTTAATAGTTTGCAGTCTATCAGTATTTTATTTAAGTCCCAATGGTAAGGTTGCAATTATATAATCAAATACATTATTTTTTCAACTATATTATTAACGGGTAGGGTGCTTAGAAAGCCTATTTTTGTAATGACAAGTAAAATACTTGTCTTTATCTAGACCTTACTATACTTTACTAACACCATACAGTTGAGGTTTGAATAAATAAATTAATAATTAAAAAACAACTTTATTAAGTACATATATGCGACATGAGGATATTCTAAAATTAAACGTACGCAACGCTTGATCTTAGTTAAGGTTGACTTTAACCAAAAACCGTTTTCAACTTAAATGTTTCTTTTTAGACTAGTTAAAATACCAGCTCTACAAACAATTTTTATTTCCTAAATTTCCTTTGTTTTAATTATTTCCACAATATAATGCAACTGATTTTCTTGAAAACCTGCCAAATAAAGGGTTTGAGTCCCGTGATGACATTAACTATTTTAAAATAAGACAAAACAGTCCTAATAACACGAAAAGCGTGCGAATTAATAACGAGATGCATGGTTTGGGCTCGACTAATTTTCATTGTTACCCTTTATCACGAATATCCAATGGCCGTATTAATTATTTTCCACTTTTTTTCTAAACTTACCACTACTACTGAACTAAACTTATTTTTTGTGTCGAGAACGTAGAACTTTTATTTTTATAAAATAAAAGAAGAAACAAAACGTTTATATCTACAAACAAAAAAGTCCCACGATAAAATTTCATTTCTATTTTTGGAGAATGGAAATTTTACAAAATCATAGGTACAATAAAACTATTGTACAACAGTAGTGTTGTAACAAATAAACAAAAATTTTAAAATCCCTTTGTTGCAGCTCTGTCACTTGAACATGAGAATATTGTTGGTGGTGAGATAGCATCAATCACCGATTATCCTTATCATGTCTACGTTAGCGTTGCAAACTCTGTTTGTAACGGTGCCATTCTTGACAAATATCACATCATATCTGCAGCTCACTGCGTCATGGATAATCAAGGCCAAGTTCAAAGTCAGATCAAAGTTTCAGCTGGGATCAAGAGTATCTACGAAATATCTGCGTCAAGATTTGATGCTTATGTTGATACAGTATATTTACACCAGGACTTTAATCCTGTAGAAGAAAAATTAATATTTTCAGGAGATATTGCCGTACTTAAGGTTTTTTTTTCAACTTACTAACGTAATTTTAAAAAAATCTGAGGATTCAATTGATAAAATTTATGTTTCTCAGCTTGATAAAATTATGTTACTGGATGATCTGCACATGGCAAAGGTTGAATTACCACCACTTCTTATCGGCCACAATCCAGAATTTCATATTGGTACAGAGCCCGTTCTCACTGGCTTTGGTTACAATGCAGTAACAATTGATAGGTCGCATGACAATAAGATTAGTGTGACTGGCAACTCATTTGGGGAATTACAATTTGCAAAAACTCGTGTTTTATCACTTAAAGAATGTTCGAGGACGCGGCCTCATGGAGGTGTTAACTTATTAAGAGAACTATGCTCTCAAATGGAACAGCCTAAAGAAACTGAAGGAACGATGCCCAGAGGTGCTTGTCTCGTAAGTGTATAGCGTTGTATTTCATTTTCATACAAGATACATACGTACGCAAGGTTCAAAGTGTCGATTGTTATTTTTCTCCTTTTTAGGGTGACAGCGGCGGTCCTCTTGTATTAAAAAGCAACGAAAAAAATCTTCTCATAGGAATATTGTCACGTGGCCCCAAGGAGTGCAATGAACAGCTGAGGCCCTCAGTATACACAAGAACTTCGTATTACAGAGATTTCATCGAATGTGTCATGCACAATAGTTCATTTCCAGAAACTGAATGTAACAGCGTCTCATGGTGATTGTGTATCGTTTGGAAAACTACTTACTTCAAAATTCAATGAATAAAGGTTTCATGTATTTAAAAATATCATAATTTGTAGGAAAATAAAACTACAAACCAAATTTGAGCCCAACCGGATGTAAACTCTTCAAGATTTTATAAGTTCGTTCGTACATTTTGGAACTCGATAGGTATCGCTCGGATCACACTTACATCATGTTCGAAATTAGTTTTAGGCACAATTTCTAGATTGTTAAATAAAAGATAGCTTTTTTTTATTGTTTTATGTCATATGAATAAAAATCAAATATGCATTTGCAACAGGACGTTTATTTTTTGAAACTATAAAAAAAAAAATCCATCAAAACCTTGAAATATATACCACGCAGGCACTACATTAATTTATTAAAAAATAAAAAAACATTTGCAACCTAAACAGCGTTAACAATTGATACTCAAGTACCTTTCGGTGACGAA